AGATCAAGAAGGATCTCCATGGCAGCTGACGGTGTGGTATTGATGGCATCACAGATGGCCAGACAGCCTACCTCTGGAGGTAGATCAAGAAGGATCTCCATGGCAGCTGACGGTGTGGTATTGATGGCATCACAGATGGCCAGACAGCCTACCTCTGTGAGCCAGAGAGCTTCACCTGAGCTGTTTTCTGTAAAACCTTCGGCCACCAGCCAGAGAGCTTCACCTGAGCTGTTTTCTGTAAAACCTTTGGCCACCAGACAATTGCATCATAAGTGATTTTTGGTCTGACAATCATCACATAAATCCAATGAATTTTTTTGGGACCTAAGTCTTAAGTTTCACCACAAATTTTTCGACATGTCTACAGGGACAGTCTGGCATTATGTGAAACTTTTTCTGAGAGGTGAATTTTTTACCAAGCACAATGCCAAGATATTTCACCTTCGTTACAAATGGAATGGCCTTACTATGAGAAAAAGTGGCGTTGAATCGTCCAATTTTCTCCTTCTGACGAAGGGGATTTTGCTGGGGTTGACAGACATCTGCTCCCTCTGGCACTAACAGTGAAAAACGTCCATCGTATGGATGAACTTCTTAGTGCATCAGGAGTTCTTGCCGCATGGTCGTACGGTCAATAAGGAGTATTATCTTGAAGTTATGCGTCACTTGTGAGAAGCATTTGTTAACCAGTTCGTTATAGTTGGTACTTCTATAATGATTACCAAATTGGAAGTGTGAGCACTGTGACAGGGTTTTGGATACTGCCTTGAGGGTTATCTAGCTCGGCAATTTTCGAAAAGACTACCTGGTTGCCCATTTTTCTCAGATCAACTCTCTGTCGCCTTCCTTCAAAGTTTAACTTTAACCACAATAGGGCATTTCCTCTCATTCTCTCCAATATTAAATTCCATTAGTCTATTCGTCATTTCAAATTTTTATTTCTTCTTTAGACTTCAATTTGTTGCTGGTACAAGTCATTGCTCCCGTTTAAATATAGAAATGTCTGTCATCTCGTTACTGAGTGCTTTCATAATATAATGGAGTTCAAACAACCCCTGTGAAATAATCGATATATAGCGGGAGTGCCTGTCTGGGTGGACAGCTAGTTTGTGTGTGAATCATTAACCTGTTACCCGTATGTTCTTTCGCAAATAATAAGAAGCGGTATACCGAATTTATTCATTCTTTGAACTGGAATAATTTCGAACATTATGAAACTAGAATAATTCAAAAAATGCCGAAAACAAACCATTTACCAGGTCTATCTCACTGCAAGAAACAATAACGAGTGGCTTACAGAACAAATTATGACTCAAGCAAATCTATTGAAAGCCAGTCTCGAATATACCTAAACAGTAGGTTAAATGGACTGACACCTATCAGAAAACAAATACTCCCCTGGCTAATACCACGAAGGGCGTTGGATTATATCCGACAGGCGTCAGTGCAGGAATCTTCACAGAAAATTTCCTGCATATGCAATAGGCAATACAACTGATAGAGTCGACCTTCAATTTTGGAACGGGCACACTTGCAGACCGGTTTTCCGGCTCATTAGCCACTTATCAGTGCAAGATAGTGACCATCATCGACCTAAAGTCAATGATATTCCATAATTGAAAATTGGAATTCTTTCGGAGTATTTCATTCCCCTTTCTAAGTTGGAGCGAAACAACAAAATGTCACTCCATCTAGTGGACGAGGTATTAACAACTGCATATCGGTAATTTGCCCGATTCCTCTGAATAAGGAAGAAAAACTTTCTTATTATTGAAGGTCGACTCTTTCAGTTGTATTGCCAATTGCATATGCAGGAAATTTTCTGTGAAGATTCTTGCACTAACGCATGCCGGATATAATCCAACGCCCTTAGTGGTATTAGCCAGAGGAGTACTTGTTTTCTGATAGGCGTCAGTCCAGTCTTGAATATACCTACACGGTAGGTATATTCAAGACTGGCTTGAACGTTTAAAGTTCATTTCTTTAGATTTGTTTACGGCCAGTCTTCAAACATAGCCCACTAACTAATAAGAAAAAAAATCCATTGAGATCAATGAAGACGGTGTCGGATAGTTCAGGAGTATATGATTGTATTTCCTACCTTCAGTCGTTAATCAAAAATCTATAAACATATATACATAAATATGTTGCTAATTGCATAAAATTATGTTCTAAATTTTTTTTTGGTTTCTCGATGGCTCTGGGAGAAACTTCTAATTACAATAGACATGTCGCGGAAAATGTCTTAAAATCAGAACCTGTTGATCAAAACGCTAAAGATAATGAAGTGATTTTTACGATAGCAGAGAAAAGTCGAACGGTTATTACGTTATATAAAAACGACTACGTAGACCAAACTATAGATTTCCTTAATTCAGGGAGCTACGATATTCTGACGAACGATCCTACAACTGTGTACCAGAATGAGGTAAAGAAAACTCTTAAGACAATAGAGTATTTTATGGAAGTAATAAATGCATAAAAACAATTTCAGGATTAGACCTATGGTGTCGTTTGTAACGGCTCCGACCGTAAAAATCACAGAAATGCTTATGAAATCAATTCAAACCTATACTTATTTCATGACGCGATTTAGTATAAATAATATGTATCGATTAGTGGATGATATTAAAAAAGCAATTCTTCCTGATAACGCTAAAATACTAATTCATTTCTTAGTATTCCGCCAAATGAAACAATTGAGCTGGTTTAGCGTCTCTTAAAAACCATGTGAATCCAACAATCAAACAGGAAGTTTTAGATTTACTTACTACTTGTTTATCTCGAAATCAATTTTCATTCGACAAAAAGTTTTCTTCATGCAGCGAAGGACTAATATAGGATAACTCATTGAGTCCTTTGCTCCCTAAAATCTTGATGAATAACATAGAGATTGACATTCATAATAATCGTTTACTTGAAATGTATGTACTTGGAATTGTACTTTCGAATAGACTATGAATCATTTGGCAACCAAGACAGTCGAATAAAAAAAATAGTTATTCTTTGATAATTTTATTCAGTAATAGCCATACTTATTTTTTCATTTCAATCCTATTGGTATACGTTCACAAACATATTTCACTTGTTGAAATATAATTTTCACCTAGTTATCAAAATTGGTGTAGGTTGGTCTTCCTTGGGATCCTCTAGTGAAGCACTTCTGGAAGTTAATATGTCTATTTCATTCTATTTAAGTGATGTTGAATTACCTATTGTCTATTATGGGTTGAATGAGTTTGTTATTATAATTATTCAATGAGAATATGCAATCAACTTCTTGCAATATACAAAAACGTCTCGGAATAGGTACTCATTAATCTACTGGAATTATTGTATGCTCCTTTAGATAAGCGATGCTATATTATCACTAGAAAACGCTTTAGAGCTAGAAACATCTTGAATCAAAATGTATGATACTATTTGAAGGTGATCAGCTGAAGTGTTGACATTGCCTATGAGTCGAGTCCTCATAATAGTAATAATAATAACGCGTCCGCGACATAACGCGGCCCTAAGAGTGCTACATTACCATCTACGACACTCTTACGGTATTGACGAGACACTGGTGTTGTCCCACGCTCCGAGGAATATTGAATCCGTTGTGGGGAATGAATGTGATCAAAAGTGTCAAATTTATTGGAACTATTCGTTCCCCATCCTCAGGCTCATAAAAGCTAATAAGCCTGATGTAGTCCTTCTCGACCACCAGAGCAAAACGATATTTGTAGTGGAGTTTTCAGCTCCTGGCGAGACGAATATCGTCAGAAAAGAGGAGGAAAAACGGATAAAATATCGAGATTTTCTCTTCGAACTCCGCAGACTCTATCCAGATCACTCTGTCAAGATGGT